TTTTGACCCCAGCTGGGCAACTTGGTGAGACCCTGTCTCAAAGTAAAAAAACAAAAGACTGAGAATATAATGTAACTAAGACTGTGGATTCAAAAAGAATTACTTCCTGTCTGCTAGACTATCCTCGGAGTCATAAAACCAGGAAAACGATCTGTACCTGAACTTGGGCAAACAGCCAGTTACCTGTTCTAAAGTGTCCCTGAGACTAAAGAGAAACCGAGTCTAGAACCCAAGCACTGGTTGGGACTCACAGCTGCCTGACCTGCGTAAGGGGCGGAGCGCACGGATCGATGTTTATGAAACACGGCCTTCCCTTAGCCGGGCTTGTGATTAGATGTTGATCTTAGGTCTCAATACCAAGGCGCGAGTAATGCATTTTCTGATTGAGAGAGACAATTAGAGAGGGAGGGAATGTGCAGCTCTTGGAAAGATGCGCCGCATGCCAAAAGGTGGGGGGTGGCAAGGACAGGAGTGGCCCACAGGATGCTGAGCCCTGAGGGGGGGACGAGTGCACCTGCGAGCAGGCGTCAGTGTGACCAGGCAGTGTATGTGTGTCCCCACAGTCCTACTTCCTGCTGTTGTGAAGGACTGGGGGACTCGGATGAGGTGAGCCTGTGGCTGCTGCTGTCCACCAGGACACCCGGGCATGCTCACTGGCCTCACTGAGCACGTGTGCAGGGTGACAAGCCCAGCCAGAGCTGGTGGGGGCCAGTGGACTGGCGAGAGAGCTGGCCCTGGGTGTCACAGGAGCATGGGGAGGCGCAGAGGGGAGGACGCCGGTTTTTGTTTTGTTTTTGTTTTTGTTTTTTGTTTGTTTGTTTGTTTGTTTGTTTGTTTGTTTTGCAAAATGCGAACAGCCCTGGGCAGAGCTGGGGGTGCAGGAGGAGCTGGGCAGGGAAACAGCAGTTGGGTCAGCTAGGGCTGGGTGCACCCATGTCCCCAAGGGGCCCTAGGAACCACGTCATCTACACCAGTGCCCATGTGGCCCCACCACTACCCAGCTCCCTCCCATCCCACTCAGACACCAGCGGGCACCAGACTCACTGAGGACTCACTTTGGGGAAAGGGGTTCCTTTTCTAAATAGCATAGAAAGGGTCAAGAAGAAGTCTGGGGGAGAGCCCGGGACCAAGGCTGTGCCCTACCAGTGTGTTCCTTATTCTTAGCGCATCTTTATAAAAGCGAGAGGCCCCTTCCCATGCCTCCTTGCCGGAGGTTGTGAAGGTTTTCACTGTCTTCAGGGTGGGCCCCGGCTGGTCAGGCTGGGAGTGTAGAGCGCATTTCTGCAAGGCCCCTTCTGTTTCTTTTCTCTTTCTTTGTTGCTGGGGATTGAACCCAGGCCCTTATGCGTGTGAGGCGAGAGCCCTACAGCTGAGCCATGTCTCCAGCCCCACCTCTGTTTCTTGAGGGAGATTGTGAAAAATGGTGACATGGTAGAGTGCTTGTCCCACGTGTACAGGCTCTGGGTGCAGGCCCCGCACTGCGTGCATGTCCTCCCCTCCCTCCCTCCCTCCCTCCCTCCCTCTGTCCATCTATCTGTGTGTCTGTCTTTATATATGAAGAAAAAAAAAATAGTCTCAAAATAGGAGACTTTGGTAGAGCCCCATATACCAACATTTCTTTTTTGGAAGGGTGGTGAAGTAGAAATTCCAAAATGTTCCTAAACCTTAAAACAGATGACTGATAGAAGCTTGTAGTAGTAGTAGCATGGCGTTTCTCCTCCTGCCCTTTTCCTCCGCTCCCCCCTCATTTTCCATGTCTCCACTGCAGGAACCCCAGGGCCACGGACATGCTGAGCAGTGGCTGTACCCCGAGCCGCACCCCCAGCCTCTCATATCTCTGCGCTGCTTTCTCCCTGAAGTCTTGTCTAGGGAGAGACGCTCCGCCTGGGCATGTGCAGCCCCGGGGTTCGCCTCCCTGATAGCCCTGCTCACCCTGCGCTGGCTGCTCCCTGGCAGCCCGGAGGAGCCCTTGAGTGTGCTGAGCCATTCTCCCGGCCCGCAAGTGACAACCAGCCCATAGCTAGTTGATTTCTGATCATTTCCAGTAAGTGCTTTACCATCAGTAGACACCTTGAACAGCTTGGAGTTCTCAGAAGTGTCAGCCTAGTTGTCAGTGTCAGGACGTATCCCCGGGCAACGCATATTTAGTTACCTGGCCTTAGATTTAGCCTAATCCACCTATCCTGGCTTCAGCCCTGCTGCGCTCCCAGGACGCCTCGGCTGTAGGAACAGCTTGGCGGTGCATCTGCAAGTCAGTGTAGCTCCCTGCTTCATTGCTTACGTGGCCTCCACTGAGTTCCTGGAGCCAGTTCTTCCTTTCCTCAGCTGTCCACTGGGGTTGGTAATATAGGGTCACAGGGCGACAAGCGTGTCCAGGACCTGTGCAGTGCTGACGCTTTGTGAACTACACACGGGTACAGGATGGTGTCTCCTTCATTGTCACTGTCACCGTCCCGACCGTGACACTGCTGTAAGGCTCACCGCTCCTTGTCTTCTAACAAAGCAGGGGCCGTACCTTCTCTGCTCCCCTCCAGTGCCCCCAGCCCAGCAGTTTCACACATAACCGGAGCTCCCCCCTTTGTCACTAATGACAGATGGGGAGTGCTGGTGGCAGTGGCCGTGAGCCGCCTGGGTGCCTGCTCTGCAGCCCACCTATCTCAGCCCAGTTCCCTCCAGAGCGAAATGCAGAGGAAGGCGAGGAGCAGAGCCAGGGTGACCATGCAGGGAGTGCCCAGGCCAGGAGGGACCCACTCAGCTCGCAGCCAGCTCTTCCACCTCACAGAGAAGCGTGAGACAGCTGCATCTCAGCGTGGCCGGAGGGAGCGTACCTGGGCTCCCTGGGCCAAGAGGGGTTGTTAGAAGGCAGATTTTTAATTTACTATTTTCATCTGTCACAGCCATCTGGGGAGTTAGCTGTTCAGTCTGAGGACCCTTAGCCAAGTGCTTATAAATTATCAATGCAGGGCTGGGGCTGAAAGAGGTTTTAAAGTAAGGTAATGACAGGCAGAGAAAGCAGAAGGATGTCCACTACAAATAGGAAGAGTAAGGACAGCCTCAGGCACGATGACAGTTCCTGGAATCCCAGAAGGCTGAGGCAGGAGGGTCACAAGTTTGAAGCCAGCCTGAGCAATTTAGGGGGACTCTGTCTCAAAATACAGCAGGAGAGCGCTAAGGATATAGCTCAGAGGCAAGACTGAGGCCCTGGGCTTGATCTCCAGTACCAACAGGGGGAAATAGAAGAATAACCGGCCACGTAGTAAGCAGCTCCTTGAGGCTGTACATGTAAGATAAGGAAAGTGAAGGAAGCATTTGCCTGCCTTCCTTAGCCCTCCCGGCTGCCAGCCCAGGGAGACCCGCGCTCTGCTCTAAAAGAATTTGCATAGCGGTGCCCTTTCTCCACATCATTGCACTTACCCAAACACACCACAGGAGGGCAGCACAGGCCTGCTTGACTTAAACCAAACTACATACAGTAGTGTCAAAATACAGGCCTAAATTCCCACCCAGAAAAGCTATTGGAAAAACCAAAAGGAGCAAAGATTTAAAAAAGACCAAAAAAAAAAAAAAAAAAAGACAAAGGAATGCATCCCTTAAGACTCTGAGTTTCTACAAAAGCGAATCATTGGAGCTAATGAAGCTGCAAAATGGAAGTTAAAGGAGAAAAAAACAAATACGAAAAAACAATTACTTGAAAGATTTTACTGATCCAATCATCAGAAGAATAGCTGCTTAACAGGAATCAGATTATTTGGTTCTCATTAATAATAAGTAGTTAATAGGTTACTCTTCCACAGAAACCGCTGTAGAAAGGCTCCCTGCAGGACTGACTTTTCTCTTGAACAACCTCAAATCACACCTGCCTTGTGTTCTACTTTGCCTCAACTTTCAGTCTCTTTCCCAATGTTTTGCATAAATGCTGTCTTCTGAACAGCAGCCTTATAAACTTTGGTATTGCAGAGTTATTTAGGCAGGTCTTGTTATAACACTTTGCTTTAGAACAAGTGGTGCCTACTAAGTTCACAATCTGTGGTAGTTTGGCTTACCTTTTACCTACATGACACATAGAGAAAGGGATTTACTAAGCACGTACATAGTCAAAGCAGTTAGCAAAAGAAGCACTTCAGTTAAGAATGATTTTCGAGCATAACTGACTTTAATGTGTTTGCAATGATGTCTTTTCTAGCCAGCGTTTTGAATGATTCTCATATGCTCAGTCTGATGTCGATAAACAAACTGAGCTTTGCTTTATTTGGAGGGCTGAGCATGCAGGTTCCCGAGGGACAGATAGGTCACCTGGGGAGCAACCCTTGCATGTACTCCCACCAGCAAGCACCTCGCTAAGTCGAGATGGGTCCTAGGATACTGCGTTAACATGGCTAGCGCAGGCCCGAGCACCATTCCCCTGCAGTCGGGCTAGCTCTGGCTTCTAGTCTAACTCATGAACAATTGACTATTGAATAAAGATGCTAATGTTCCAGCTAGCAATTCTTGTTTTCTCTACATAAAATGAATTTTCAGAAAAGTCACTTCAGAGGACTCCCTTGTCCACTGTCCTTCCCTTAATCAGGGAGAAGAATGTATGCATGCCTTTCTCAAGGGGACTGTGTCCGTGTGTCCTGACCAGCAAGGACATACTGCTTATCAGAGTAGGTTCCACTTGGCATAACGGATCCCTGTGCTAAGCAAATAGCTACCAGCGTATTCATATTCAGAACATGAGCATCCTACACTAATAAATCCTTTGTTGTGAGAAATAGCAAAATACCATAAATGAATGGCTATGTCCTAATGTATTTGAGAAATCTCGCTACTAATTGTGTGTCACTAACACTTTAATGACGAAAGGAGCCCGCCCTTCCCATTGGCATCGCTCAGGGTCAGGCCGTTTCTGTGTGAATGCATTCCTCACTAAATCTCGCAGGCAGCTGCCTCAGTTCTGTTACTAACACCATGCGCTGTCTTCGCGTTGTATACATGTCTAATTTATCAGTTTCTTGTAGATTGTCAGCAGCCTGCTGCCTCCGTACCGCCACAGTGCTCACAACTAGCCAGGAGGCCAGACTGCCCGCCCGTCAGGTAAATGCACCTCCTCCCCTCCTGGCTGCATGCGGCCTGTGCCCCCGCTCCCCTCCCCGCATGTGGCGCCTGTACTCCATTCCGTCCCACTGCGTATGATTTACGGGGGCTGCAGAAGCCATGGGCTCCCCACAAGCATGCTGCCCTGGAGCCAGGTCTCACCGCCTCCTCCCTTCTGCAAGGTGTGGAGCTTCCGACCTTCCACACTGGGCTCGGGAGGACATCTGTCCCACTCTCCTGTTCCTCTTTTTGCCCTTAAATGTGTTTCTCAGGCAAACAATGAATGAGGTGTGTGGTAATGGGACATGTCACAAGTGTCTTTTTTTCCTCCACTCAAGCACTCTGAAAGCTGAATTTGAGGGGTGGGGCAAAACCTTGTCATTTACATTCAGAAATAAACATTGGCAGCCTGAGTCCCTTAGGGGAGATGAACTGGAGAATTTGCAATGACCCAGACCAGAGGAGTTTGCCTGGCTAGCTTGCTCCTGGATTGGATGTGCCCGCTGCTCGTTGCCTGGAGCAAGAGCTGCCCGGGGTCGGGTTGCCAGGTGTCAGCTGCAAGAGTCCCGCTCCACGGGTCCCCTTCACCTCCATTGGACTATGCAGTGCAATGCTGAAGACTTGGGAGTGGTCCCTCCCAAGGCCAGGGCAGGGAACTGGGACAGACCAGGGCCAGGTATTGGAGAAGCATCCTATGAATGAGTGCACACTTTCTGGAGTCTGAGGCTCGGGTGTGGGTCCCATGTCCAGCACCCCCTAGCTGTGAGCATGCAGAGTTGCTCCTGCTGACAAAGGTTCTTCTAGAATCTTCCCTAGAAAGCAGGATGAGTGGGTAGAGCAGGAGGTCTGCCAGGCTGCCTGTTGTCAGCACTGATAACAGCCCTGTCACCTAACCGCCCTCGAGACAAAGATCTGCCTTCTCTTTCATAACCTTCCTGCTTTGCCCGAGCCTGGGCTGGAGCAGCCCACTCCTCCAGATGTTGAGGCAAGATAGAACCCAGAAAGGCTGCCAAGGAAATGTTTTAGCTTCATGACATCTGACCTACAGGGAAGGTTCACATTTTTAAAATTTATAATACTAAAAGGCACACTGCCGCTAATCCCCCTCAGAATATTGCCCACCGCCTCGAGCACACTTAGCCCGTCATTCCTGCTGCTTTCAGAAACACCTCTGAACATCTCCTTTCCTTGGTGGCTTTGTGAGGTGTGATCAAAAATCTAGTGAATGCGGCTGCCGAGTACTGTCCAAGCCAAAGGCAGCCTCATCTGCATGTTGCCACCCACCCTGTCCACCAGACTGCCGCTGTGCAACCTCTAGCTCCTCCCCAAAGTCACAGTGACCCGAAAGGGAAGCATTCTGAAAGATTCAGGACCTTGAGGCAACCAGGACAGTGCAACTGAAGGCTCTCGCCGATCTTCCAGAGCCACTTCAGAAAGTGGCAAGAAGGGTGGGATGAGTATGTTCAGAGCAGAAGTGAGTACTTTTAGGGGGGCAGTGGCAAGTATTTTTTTTTACTGTATTTCATTTATTTAAAGAAATGCAAGTGAAGGCTGACGAGATAGCTTAATGGACTGAGCACCTGCTTAGGAAGCGCAAGGACCTGGGTTTGATCCCTGGCACCACATGCCACACTGGCCCCACCCCTGGGCATACTGAGCTGGCCACCGAGACCAGGCATGGTGATGCACACCTGTAATCCCAGAGCTGGGGAGGTGGAAAACAGGAGGATCACTATGAAGCTGAGCTGTGCAGTGAGATGCTATACCAAATATATAAAATAACAATAATAAATGTAAGCACTCACTGTATTTTTTTTATGACATTGTGTAATTTTAGCTTGCTTTTTTCTTTTTAATTTGATACAGGGTTTCACTACACAGTTCAGACTCATAGTGATCCACTTGTCTCAGCCTCTCCAGTGCTGGGATGACAGACATGCTCCACCGGTCTGGCACAGAGCACCTGGGGTTCCAGGGCCAGCATGGCATGCAGTACTGGGGATCAAACTTGGGTCCTTGTGCCTGCCAGGCAGGTGCTTAGACCACCAAGCTATCTCCCTGGCCCTTGCTTTTCTTTTGAAAAGCTCAACTAAACAGTTGCATGCTCCAGGTCCTTCTCTTTTGAGATCCTGGAATTCAGACTGCTTGCTGCCTCCACAGGGATGATCTGCTTGAAGGAAAGCAGTTTAGTCAGCATGGTGACACAGGCCTGCTCATGGCCGCAGCGCTTTGGGAGGCTGAGGCAAGGGGACTGTAAATTCCAACCAGCCTGGACAGTTTAGCACATCTTGTCTCAAAATTAAAAAATAAGCCTGTAATCTCAGCACCCCGGAGGCTGAGGCAGGAGGATCGTTGTGAGTGTGATGCCTGCCTGGCCTGCAAAGTGAGCTGAAGGGCAGCCTGAACTGCATAGCAAGATTCTGTCAAAAGAAAGAAAGAAAGAAGCAAGTGGTGTGGGCGTAGCTCAGTGGCAAGGCTCTGGGTAGGGAATAAAAGGCAGCAAGTTCATGAATTACAAATTTAGTTACATTTACAGGACCCACTACCCATATAGTCCACCCACAGAACTGAGTAAGTACAGTGGAAAGACTGGCCAGGGTCCTTTCCAAAGGTGCTCGGAATTCGGGCCCTCGCTGCCCTTCGGCTCCCTGCTGGAGGAGAGCACAGAGACCGGAGAAGTCCCACCATGTGCTCCACAGGGTGACTGTCCCACAGGCTGCCTGCTGCAGCTCCCCAAGGGTGACCATTCTTACTCCCTGGTAAAGCACCTGCCTATAGTCCCACCTAACACCGAGCTGCACGGAGCCAGGCAGGCGTCCAAGGAGGAGCAGATCCGCCCTTCTGCACCCGGGAGGAGTGAAGTGATAGAC